GCGTGGCGACGCCAGAAGCAGCAGGGACAGCACCAGAACCCTCAGCAGGAGCACCCGCTCCAGCAGCACCACCAGTAGCTCCAGAACCTCCAGCAGCACCAGGAGCACCCCCAGCAGGACCGCCAGCGGTAGTCTCAGCGCCAACACCCTCAGCAGCACCAGCTCTAGTCGAACCTGCAGACCCAGCAGCTCCAGTACTCCCAGGACAAGCACCTCCGGGACCCGCGACAGCAGCACCCTCAGTAGCCGACGAACCTCCAGCACCAGCAGCACGGCTCCAGCGCCGGGCAAACCACTCGCGCAGCTCCTGTGGAGAGAGTGGCTCCCGGCGAGACGTAGCACCCGGAGAACCTCCAGACGGAGTACCTCCAGGCTCAGCACCCCTAGGCTCAGCACCCCCAGGCTCAGCACCCCCAGGCTCAGCACCCCCAGGCGTAGCACCCCCAGGCTCAGCACCCCCAGGCTCAGCACCCCTAGGCTCAGCACCCCCAGTAGCCGAAGAACCTCCAGCACCAGCTGTACGGCTCCAGCGCCGGGCAAACCACTCGCGCAGCTCCTGTGGAGAGAGTGGCACCCGGCGAGACGAAGCACCCGGAGAACCTCCAGGCAGAGCACCTCCAGACTCAGCACCCCCAGGCCCGGCACCCCCAGGCAAAGCACCCCGAGGCGGAGCACCCCCAGTCTCAGCACCCCCAGGCACAGCACCCCCAGGCTCAGCGCCCTCAGCAGCACCAGAGTCACCAGTGACCTCGACAGGCTTGACTGCGTCTACCTGGGACACACCTGAAGGGGCAGGACCCTGAGGGGGGAGGGGGTCGACCTGGGGGGGACCTGGTACAAGGAAGAGCGGGGGCGGGGGGAGGGACGGAGTGCGGTAGGGGAAGAGGCGGTAGTAGGGGACCGACTCGTCGAACGTGACGTCCTGGGAGGACAGAACACGGCGAGAGGTGGGGTGGTAGAACTGCCACCCAAGTGCGTCAGGGGGGAACCCCAGGAAGACGCAAGGAGCAGCACGAGGGGACAGCTTGTCCGCAGACAAGTCGCGGACAAACGCACGAGATCCCCAAACCCGGAACGCCGACGCATCGCCAACCTTCCCCGTCCACAGCAAGGTTGGGGAGGTCTCCGGCCTGGAGACCCTGGGGTGAAGGTTGATCTGATGCGCCGCGTACCGAACCGCAAACGGCCACAGAAAATGGGGGGCAGCCGCATGCATCATAGATGTACGAGCGACGTCCATGACCATGCCAATGCGGCGCTCAGGAATCCCATTTTGCTGCGGAGAGTCCGGAAGTGTGAAGGTCTGACGGATGCCCCGTGCGCGACAGTAGGCTCGCAGAAGGCCAGAGGAGAACTCTCCGCCTCTGTCCGAGTGCAGACGCAGAACAGGAAAGTCCGAGCCAAAGCTCTGCCTGAGCTGGAGACGAGCTGCGCGGATCCAGTCGATCAGCACCTCAGTGTCATCACCCTTGCTGCGCAAGGGGAAGACTGCGGAGTAACGCGAGTAGTCGTCAACAACTAGCAGGAAGTAGCGCTCGTGACCCTGTCCACAGACGCGGGCTGGGCCCCACACGTCCATGTGAAGCGTCTGCAACGGGGCCTCTGTCGGAGGAAACTGGAAGGAGTGAGGGGCAGCACGCTAGCGCCCCTCGACACAGGGGACACAGGTAGGGCCAGGGCCCTGAGGAAGGGGAGGGAGGGACCGGGGGAGACCAGAAACAAGAAGACGAGAGGCCATGCCTCTGAGCCGAAGCAGAGAGGGGTGACCAAGGCGGTGGTGCCAGAGGAGAGTCCCGTGAGACAGGAGACGACACGAACAGGGGGCAGACTCAGGACCAGACCTGGACGCTGCAGCAAACACCTGACCCGACGCAGCTACCCTACCAGGCTCAGCAACTGGAGGAGACGCAGTGGTCAGTGTGTACAGGCTCGACCCCGGCCGATGAGTAAACGTGGCCAGGTGTCGGCCTGTCTGAGCGTCTGTGCAGTGGGTCACCCGCTGACTCGCAGGAGTGAACCGGTGAACCCCCGCATCCTGCAGGTCAGCACCACTCACCAAGTTCGTAGAGAACGAGGGGAGGTAAAGACCAGACAGGGTGCCAGAGGGGGCCGCCGAACACGGGAGGACAGTGGAGAAGTGAGCAAGGACAGGGCCCCCAGAGGGGTCTGCTAGAGAGACTGCAACTGGCCGACCAAGCGGCGTGAGTGTGGTGCAGTCTCGAAAGAAGGAGCGGGAAGCCCCCGAGTCAAGGGTGAAGGTGTGAGAGGCCAGAGCCGACGCGGTACCCGAGAGAGCAGACTCACCCGCACCTGAGGAAGCAGACTCACTAGCACCTTCAGCAGCAGCCGCACCTGTACCTGGAGCAGGAGACACACTAGCACCCAGAGCAGCAGCCGCACCAGCAGCTAGAGCAGCAGGATCTATACCCGGGTCAGGCGGTACGCACAGGTGACCGGCACGGTCAGCACTAGTAGGCAATGCATACATGGCCGTGAGAATAGCATCATAGTCAAGAGCAAATATATCTACCCTCTGCCTAAGCAACTCCACCCAGTCGGGGAGCTCAGCCTCGTCGCCAAACGCAGTACGCCAGGCGTCGCTCAGACGGGCAAAGCAGCCGGACGGTGTGTGACTAGGCGTCCCACAAGGCTGACCAGTCCGAGCACCAGTGCGAATCACGTAAGAGCAGCGAACAGAACTGAGAGACCCTACACTCTGAGCATACCACTCACGAAGCTGCCGGGGCGTGAGAGACGCGCGTGGGCGTCGTTGGAGCTGCATCTGGCCTCCGCCAGTAGAAGCAGGAGCAGGAGTAGCAGCAGTAAGGCAGGCAGCCAAGCAAGTAGTAGGCAGCGCGCTAGTAAGGCAGGGGCTCACCAGTGGTGGGAAGAGGAGGCTCGACGACTCGGCGATTCGGCGACTTGGCGGCACGGCGGCACTGCAGCAACTGCGGCTCGGCGGCTCGGGCGACTCGGGCGGCTCGGCTGCTCGGGCGACTCGGGCGGCTCGGCGGCTTGGCGGCTCGGCGGTACGGCTGCTCGGCAGCAACTGCAGCTCGGCGGCTCGGCGACCCGGCGGCTCGGGCAGCTGAGGTGGCGCTGCGGCTCGGGCGGCTCGGGCGGCTCGGGTGGCTCGGGCGGCTCGGGCGGCTCGGGCGGCTCGGGCGGCTCGGGAGGCTCGGGCGGCTCGGGTGACTCGGCACTAGCTCGGCGGCGCCGGCGGCTCGGTGGTGACGGCGGGGCCGCCTGGGGACGGCGGCGGGGTGGGGTGGAGCGGCGACGGGGCCAGCAGAGGCGGCGCCGGGGCCGGCACAGGTGGAGCAGGGGCGCAGGGGCAGGCGACGGGGCCAGCAGAGGCAGGGCCGGGTCGGTGCAGGGCTGCGGGGCCGCAAGGGAGGTGGCGGGGCCGCGGTGTAGAATGGCGGTAGGGGCCGCGACGAAGGGCGGCAGGGGCCGCGACGAAGGGCGGCAGGGGTCGCGACGAAGGGCAGGGCCGCGACGAGAGTGGCGGGGCCGCGACGAAAGAGGCGGGGTCGCGCGCCTCGGGGCGGGGCCGCGACGTAGGGCGGGGCCGCGACGTAGGGCGGGTTCGCGACGTAGGGCGGGGCCGCGACAAGGGGCGGGGCCGCGACGAAAGAGGCAGGGTCGCGCGCCTCGGGGCGCGCGCCAGAAAGAAAATCGCCGCGCGCCAAATAGGTCGCACGCCGCGGGGCGTGCGACAGATCGAGTAGCAGCGGAAGCAGTAGTAGGGCCTTAGGAACAGTTCCCACGAGGGAACCTGCTCGATACCATGAGAGAATTGAAACGAGAATGAATCAACTATGAAATGAGTGAGTACAAGTAGTAACCCTAATTGGGTTGTACCCCCTATGGGATACCCCACTATAGCCTACACAAATGTATAAGCTATATAGCATTCTGACAGTAGGGCGACAGATTGGCAGGTACAGTTGGACATTTTTCATTGGCTGCGATCAAAGAGAATTGTACAGTTGTGTGCTTTGATTGGTTAACAGTACACCCGTTTTTTCAACCTCCGTGCAGGGGCGTGGTTTCGATGCGCGGGATTTTTTCCCCCCTCGAAATCGGCATTTTCAGGTGTCCAGGTGCATGTGGTCGTGTCGGGCATTTCGAGTCGAGTACGATTTTTAAACAATGACGGGTCGTTTCGCAATTCGTCAGCGACGTCAGCGGCATTTCATGCTGACCAATAAAAAATACAGTAGAAGTCGCTGCAAATCGACTCGCATTTGGGACACAATACAGTTTATGTTGTTTTTAGGTGGACCAAAGTGATTGAGACAGAAGTGTCCCGACAGGAATGTTCCCTAACTGAAAAATACTAGCTTTTTGTATTTCTCACTTAGTGGGTTCAGTGAAGGGTGGGTCGTGGGGACTGCGAAATACGAAAGCTGCGAAAACGTACTACCACCTGCGAAAGCTGGATGTAGTGTGGGTCGCCAAATGAGCAGTGTTACCAGAATCTTGACCAACCAATAAGGAACGCATTCAGAAAACCACGACGTTGCGAAGCTCCAATAATTGTTTCGCCTCACCGCGAAACTACTCGCTGGAGGAAACCCGAAACTGACAGAGCGATGTGTGGTTTGCAGCAGAAACTCACAATTATGGTCACCACGAACAATTCTCGTTGAACCCTCACGCTCGTGACGAACGTCGTTACACCTTGTTTCGTTGTCGTCGCCACGCAGTCAGTTCGCCAAGAGAACAAAATAATTGTCACAGCCCCAATCTCGGATCGCTTCGCGATGGCGACTCGAGCCAAGCCCCAACTCCCAATTCTTTCCTACCACTCGTTCACCTATATTTATCTCCTGCTTCTGCACCTACTCTCATCAATATCGACTTATGCCCAGCGCCGAGAATCTGATATTCAAGCCTCCACGTTTCAAGTCTGGTCTTTAATTTTGAGCTGTTCCTAGTCACAAATAAAGAGCTCAGCTAGCCCTCAGCGAATCTTTCTTTCTCCCTACACTCCGATGGCTCTCGTTTCTAAAGTCGGTGGCCTGCTGTGCGTGGGAATTCTCCTGCTAGCTCTCGCCCTCAATCCTGCCGACGCCGTATCTGCCAGATCAGAAGACCTTAACAAAGGCGCCTCGTGCTACCCTGAGTTGAAGAATTTCGGCGACAATCCCTATTTCGACAAGGGCATGGTTGCTGAGATTCCCGTGAGCAAGTTCGACGCCGGGAAGGCCTGCGGAACGTGTTACCAGGTTACCTGCAAGAACAGCAAGAGGTGCAACAAGGGAGCTAGCGTGACGGTGCGCGCGATGAACAACGACGGCGACGGCTTCACGCTCAACAACCCCGCGTGGGACAAAATCGTCCGCGACCGATCCGGCAGCGTGGAGGTCGAGTACCGCAGCGTGGACTGCCCGACCAACGGCCGCGGCATGGCGGTCATGATCGAGAGGAGCAGCGGCCCGTACTACTTCGCACTTTACGTTCTGGGCGCGGCGAGGAACGCGGCGGTGGGGAAGGTGGAGCTGTCGACGGACGGCAACAAGTGGACGGGCATGACGAGGGGCGGGTGGGGCGCGCGGTGGGAGCTGCCCTCCGCCAAGGACGTCGTGGGCGCGGGGCGCAAGGTGAGCGTGCGCGTGACGGCGGCGGTCACCCAGCAGCAGGTGGTGCTGCAAGACGTGATTCCGAGCAAGTGGAGCGCCGGGAAGACGTACGAGAGCAGCTCCAACTTCTGAACGGCGTAGGAGTGCTGCGACGGGAGACAGAGAGTGCTTCCAACGAATGAATGCAGCTCCAACTTCTAGATGGTGTGTCGCATGAGAGCTCGAGCTCTTCCAAATAAATGCAAATAATTGCTCAGCCGGCTAGCCGTGTCGATGCAGAGGACTGGCATGAGGATGCATGCTCTTAGGATGATAGTAATAATTGATCAATCCGCTCGCCTTTGTAGGAGCACCTACAGCTGCGTGGTTTGTTTTGAACCAGCATACTTGACAAAAACAAAAAAAAACCTTTCCACTTCAACAGCCAGACAGTTGTGATTGATGCTGAATACCGTAATACCCCGGATTAAAGACCCGGGGGAATTATAAGAATCCCACCCCAAAAATGAGGGGTATTACCCAGTTGGCTATCTTTTATAAGACCCAGGTCTTATCATATGGTCATGTATAAGGGCGCATTCCTGCAGGGACACTTGTGTCTCAATCCCCGTTTTCCCGAGTCGCGTCTGTAAATTTGCCAAATGTTGTGTCACAAACAACCAATGTATCGCGACTCTAGGCGACCCAGCGAAATGTACAGTTGTGCGCATTTGATTGGGTGACACAAATGACTGTACATCCCTTTCTTCAACCGCTTGGCTGGGGTGTGGTTTCGACGCGCGGGATTTTTTCCCGCACGAAATTGGCACTGCATTGCTGTCCAGGTGCATTGACATTTCGAGCCGCGTGCGAATTTTTCACATTGACGAGTCGGATTACAATTCGTCAGCGACGTCAGCGCGCTTCACGCTGACCAATAAAAAAATAAAGTTCTGGTCGCGGAAAAGCGACTCGCAATTGGGACACACTACAGTTTCTGCTGTTTTTGTGTGTCACAAAGCGATGAGACATTTGTGTGCCCACAGGTTTTAACCCTAATACTTGGAACCCAGACATGCGAACAGTATGTGCTCCATTTTTAGCAGGTGTGACAGGGATATGACGGGGATATGACATGCGATATGATGGGAAGGAGGTAGAAGAATGGGTTGCTGGACAGGATGATGAATAGATGTGCTTTTGTGACTCACTGTTACCCCTCTTTAGTGAACGTGTAATGGGATTTGGTGTAGAAAAGGGTTGAAATCTACCAGAATTTCATTCTTTGCCTATAAACTGACCTCGTCTCTAGGGGGGAGGGGGGGTCTAATAATGTTAACCCCCCAAAAGGGGGGTATAACTACAAACGACCGATTTAGCGTACCCCCCTCCGTATTATAGACCCGGGGGTCTACAACTGGAGGGGGTCTTATATCCGGGGTATTACGGTAGTAACCTACACACAGTACCATAGTACCGGTACTGGTACATCAAGGGAGAAGACTGTGGCAAGATAAGCAGAGGTCTGTACCTGGCTGACCAACTCCTTGCCTAACAGGCCAAACACCCCCACGTCCCCACCCCCCTTCTCTTTTCTCAAACCACGACATTTGCTGCCATGCACATCCCAGCCTGCATCGCCAGCCCCTCCATCTCCCCACCGCCCTCTCCCATTTCTCCTTCACCTGCCATTTCCACCTCTCCACCCATCACTCCCTCCTCCTCCTCCTCCTCCTCCTCCTCCTCCTCCTCCTCCTCCTCCTCCTCCTCCTCCTCCTCCTCCTCCTCCTCCTCCTCCTCCTCCTCCTCCTCCTCCACCCACTCGTCCAGAGGACCCCTTGCATCCACCCCTTCCCATGCCTCCATTCCCGCTATAAGCAGCCTCTGTGCCTCCTCGCGGGCGGCGTCAACGCCCTCTTTGTCTCCAGCCTCTTCCGTCCTCTGGCACAACACATTGCTTTTGCTGTCTGCACCTGCAGCACTGCCTGTCACACTGTGAACTGAGGTCCCTATCACGTGCACCACAGCACCTATTGCTGCAGTCGTGGCAGCAACTGCAGGGGTCACTGTAGCACCATCTGCTGCACTCTCACTCGGCCTCTGCAACAGCAGTCCTTGGTGCTTACAGGCACCTCCTGTGCTCCCCAATGCACCCCTGCTTCCAGTATTCTTGCCTGCAGCATCACATTCTTGTTCTTTCCCTTCCTGCCTCCCATCAACCTTCTTCTGCCCTTGCTGCTGCGTCTGCTCGCGCCTTGTCTTTTTCTGCTGGTGTTGCCGCACAAGGGCCTGCAAGGGAAGGTCGTCATCAGAATCCTCCTCTTTCACTGCACCCTGCTGCTGCTGTTTTTGCGCTTGCTGCTGCTGCTGCGGGTTTTGCGCTTGCTGTTGCCGCTGCTGCTTCTCATGCTGCAGCGAGTGTCGAGCAAGATCACAGTCAATCTGCTGCAGTGGGGCAGCCATAGGAGTGACTCCAGCTGCTACAGCAGTTTCCGGGAACTTCTGAGTTGACGGCATCACGGCAGCCCCAACAGACCCTCTGCTCGCATCAAACACCCCGTGCCCATCGGCCTGCAGACCATTGTGCAGACCACTTTTGAGAGCATGAGTGTGCTGTGAGGCACGCTGCTGGCAGTAGCGGTGCAGGCGGGAGCACCGGCCCTGCTGCCGCCCCTCCCTCAGCCGCAGGGCAATGCGCCTCTTCCACTCCTCTATGCTCTGCACCCACCCTGCTGCCTCCACTCTGCTCGCAGGCTCGGGCTCGGAATTGAGCCTGGCAGGTTCGGAATCAGGCTTGTGCTGCGGTGGCTGGCAACTAGGCTCGGCAGGGTGGTGAGTCAGTCGTTCAGACCCTCCTTCTTTCCTGTCAGCTTCGTTTCCATCTGCTTCCGACTTTTGTTGCTGCTGCTGTCTCTGCTCGTATTGACGGAGCTGTCTTTCCAGCTCTGCCTGCTCCTCACTCTCCCCTGCGCATTCTCCTCTACCTCCCACCTCCTCATCCCCTCCTTTCCTCTCCTCCTGCTCTCTATTCTCCCTCTCCTCCCTCTCCCTCCTCTCCCTCTCCCTCTCTGCCTCCTCTGCTGCAGCCAGCACAGGATGGCACGCCTCTTCCCTCTCCACCACTGCAAACCGCACTCCCCGCTTCCTCCACCCCTTTTTCTTCCCTCCCTTCCCCTCTCCTCTCCCCTCCCTATCCCCGTCTCCCCCCTTCTCACCCTCTCGCCCCTCCTCCGAGCTCCGTTGCCCCACGCCAGGGAAGGAGTAGTCGTGGCGGAGGCGGTGGCAGAAGTTGAGGAGCTCGCCGATGCCCGTGCCCCGCACCCACCCGTACCGCTCCAACCGCCCCGCCTCCTCCTCCGATAGGTCCACTCCCACCTGGCGGGAAGAAAGGAAGAGACGCTTTTTATCATTCTCAAAAGTGGCAGAAAGGAAGAGGGAAGTGAGGGGAGGTATGGGACTGCGGAGGCACACGAGGTGGGCTGGAATGGATGGCATGCAGGAGAAGGTGGTGAGGCAGGGGCATGTTTGACATTGCGCTTCTGCGTGTTTGTGGCCTACGTGGATCACAATGACCCCTTGAGAGACCAGTACTGCACTGAATGGTAACAAAAAACTCATATATATATATATATATATTAAATAAAATAAGTACTCGATTGTCAGAGTAGACTTTAGAGTCGCCGAGAAAGAGTGGACCAGCAATTTGAGAGGTGTGGACCTCAAGAGGCAGGTTGGTGATGACGTCGATGCGCGACACAGAGGCGGCGCCAAAGACAGCGAGCAGGCGCTGCAGCTGCCAGCGCACCGCCACCCCCGCTTCCAGCTCAAAGAAGTAGGTCGCCTTGCCGTACTCTGGCGCCTCCAATATGATCCTGGCAGGTAACGGTGTGGTGGGAGGTGCAGCGGTGTGGTGGGAGGTGTGCAGCAATGTGGATTATAGGCCTCGTTTAAGTCTAATCAAAGAAGTAGGTCGCCTTGCCGTACTTCGGCGCCTCCAGTATGATCCTGGCAGGCAGCCATGTGGTGGGTGGGGGGTGCAGTGGCACAGTGGGGGGTGCAGTGGCACAGTGGGGGGTGCAGTGGCACAGTGGGGGGTGCAGTGGCACAGTGGGGGGTGCAGCGGTATGAAGGTAGGTGCAGCGGTGTGGCTGTTGAGTCGATTCAGAAGTCACCACCCCTCCAGCTCAAAGAAGTAGATGGCCTTGCCGGCCGTACGTACTCTGGCGCCTCCAATATCATCCTGCCGGGCAACAGGTCCAGGGGAGATGTGCAGGGAGGGAGGATGGTCAGGCTTGGGAGGGCTGGTGAAGTGGGTTGTTCTGCCATACTCTGGTTCCTCCAATATGATCCTTCCGGGCAGCCGTGTGGTTGGGGGTATAGGGGGGGCAGTGGGGCCAGGAATTGGGGTCCAGGGAGGAGAGGAGGTTGCGAAGGCAGATGATTTCTGAGTCGGATGAATCAGGTTGTAAGGCAGGCGAGAGGTTGGATAGGCTTGGGTGTGAGGAGTGGAGAGAAGGCAGTAGGACTGGAGGCCCCTTACCTGTTGTGGCGGTGTGACGTGTCATCTCACCTGTTGTGGCTTTGTCATTCCACTCACCTGTTGTGGTCTGGGAAGACAAAGAGGAAGCAGCGGATGGCCCCACACCAGCCCCACGACACCTGCCACCCCGCCTGCTGCACCGCGTGCGCCTGAGCGGAGAGAGATAGGGGTGGCAGGGGGTGGTGAAAAGGACGGGTGGGGAGAGGGTTGGTAGAGGGGTGAGGGAGGAGGGGGAGAGACGGACAAGAATAGCATGACGGAACACTGCTTGATACTTGTACTATCTATCCAGTATCGCACTCTGCAAGGTGAAACCCAAGGCAGAAGCCAAGGAGCAGAGCACAGCCAGCAGCACGCACGTGCGTGATGAGCGAGCGCAACGAGGTTCTCCACACAGTACGCCGGGAGATTCCATGCTCCTGCTGCTGGCTGCTGAGTCGGCTCACAAGGCAGTAGCACTAGCGTGCACCTGCGTGATGAGGGCAACAAGGTTCTCCACAAAGTACGCTGGCCGATTCCATGCTGCTGCTGCTGGCTGCTGAGTCGGCTCACAAGGCAGTAGCACACACACACCGGCGTGATGAGGGCAACGAGGTTCTCCACGCAGTACGCCGGGCGATTCCACCCTGCGGCTCCACCCTTCGCCCTTCCTTTTTGAGTCGACTCAAACAGCAGGCAGGCAGCAGCACACACCTGAGCAAGCAGTAGCACACACGCACCTGCGTGATGAGGGCAACAAGGTTCTCCACGCAGTACACTGGCAGATTCCACCCTGCTGCTGACTGCTGAGTCGACTCACAAGGCAGTAGCACACACGCACCTGGGTGATGAGAGCGACGAGGTTCTCCACGCAGTACGCTGGCCGATTCCATGCTCCTGCTCCGCCCCCTACCCCCGCCACCTGCCCTGGCAGGCGCTCCCACGTGTGCGAGTAGAGCTGGGGGGCGGTGGGGCAGGGGAGAGAATGGGGGGATTTGGGAGGGCTTTTGAGGCGTCTCGAAAGGCATCTGCCCTGCCCTGGCAGGCGCTCCCACGTGTGTTGAGCTTTGGGTGGTGGAGGGGTTGCTGGGATATGGGCCGGAAGTTGGAGGGTAGAGACGGAAAGTGGGTGAAGCAATTGAATGAGAGAGAGCGGCAGAGACAAGAGGGTTGGATCACATCAGAGTGTCCTCGCTGGAACAAGTGGCATTCTCACACTATGCTCCAGGGCAAATGTGCAATTGTAGATGTCCGCTCTATACACGCACTCCGATGGTCCATTGATTTAGGCGCCTCAGGCAAGATGCACATGTAAGCCGCCCCCCACGCGTGCAGCAGGGAGAGCAGAGTGGCCTAAGGAAGATAATTGGTGGGTCCAAGGAGCCACTGTGAGGGAAAAAAAATAAAAAAAAATAGCACACACACACACACACACACACACACACACACACACACACACACACACACACACACACACACAAACAAACAAACAATAACAAAAAAACAAACAATAACAAAAAAACAAACAATAACAAAAAACAAGTTGGGGTTGGGAGAGCAGAGAGTACCCGGGACAGAATCCTCTGCAGGTCGGAGAAGTCAGAGGGCACTGCCACTGGCGCTGATGCTGCTTCTCCTGCTCCTGATCCTCCTCCTGCTGCTGCTGCTTCTGCTTGAGGCATTGCCACAGCATCACCAGAGTGCGTGCACTCAAGCTCTGTCCAAACGCCAGGCCCAGCACCCACCCCTCCCTCATCCCACTCCATCTTACACCTTGCCTGCCCCTCGCCATCCACCCTATCCACCCCATCCACCCCCATCTCCCCCCTCTGCCCCGCCATCCCGTTGCCACAGCTGACATCAGTCCCACCGACCCCGTCCCCCAGCTCGCCCCTCTGAGAGGGGAGGAGACCAGCGTGGGGGGCCGTGTGCGGCTGCTCCTCACTGCTGCCGGTTGCTGCTGCTTCTGCTGCTGCTGCTTCTGGTGGTCCTGCTGTTCCTGCTGAGCGCATGAAGGCGAGGTCGAAGAGCTGGATGCCGCGCAGCAGCCCCCTCTGCTGCAGCACCTGCAGCAGCCCCGGTGCGTCTGACTCCAGCGCTTCCGCTGCTGTGCCGTGGCTGATTGGTGGGGGTAGAGGGAGGCAAGAGGAGAGGGAGAAAGGAGGTGAGAGGGGGGCAGGGGAGGATGGGGCCGGGCGGGGAGAGAAAGGGAACAGGTGGAGACGGTGCTGTTTCGAGGAACACAGAGAGGAGATGGTGTTGTTGGGTTGAGCAGGTGAGTTGATGCTGCTGGCTGCGATTGGCTATCTAGGAAGACGACAGGTGCAAGTGCACACGAGGAGAGGCAGAAGGGGAAAAGAAGAAGTGGGGAGTGCAGAAGAGAGGAGAGAGAAGTGGCAGAGCTATGAATTTGCAGAGGAGAGAGAGAGAGGAGGAGGAGGGGAGAGCAGAAGAGCGGAGGCAGAGAAGGGGGCATCACACACACAGCTCACACGCCTCACAAGACATTGCGGGTTGGTGTGCTCACCTCTTTGCCTCCTTGGCCTCGCTCGTCCCTGCTTCCGCTGCTGCTGCCTTGGCAGCTGCCTTCCTCTTTCTCTTCTGCTTCCTTCTCCACGCTGCCCCCTTCCCCTGTCCCTGTTCCTGCCCCTGCCCCTGCCCCTGCCCCTGCCCCTGCCCCTGCCCCTGCCCCTGATCCTGCTTCTGTTCGTCATAGCCCCCTTGTCCTTCATCCATCGCACCTCCCAATCCTTGCCTTGTTCCCGCCACACCTCCACCACACCCATCCCACGTCCAGCCCTCACGGCCTCCTCCCTGCATCTCTGCATCTCCACCCACTGCCTCCATTTTCACTGCCACCCTGCACTCTTGCGCGCCCGTCCCCACACCTGCTGCCACGTCTGCACCTGCCTCTGCTGCTGCTGCCTGTGCTGTGCCTGCTTCTACAGTCACCACTGCTTCGACCTTCACTTGTGCTCCCGTTGTTGCTGCTGCTGGTCCAGAGGCTCCTGGCTCAGCAGCAGCACTATAGTTCAGCAGCATGCTCCCAGTATCACCATCACCCTGCACGCCCATTCCCAACCCTTCCCACTCCTCCTCCTCCTGCTTCGGCCTCCTCTGACCCCCCCCAACTTGGTGCCCTCCCGCCTGCCCACATGACTCCGCCCTTGCTCCTTCCCCCTCTCCCGCGTCCCTCGCACGGCCAACTGGCAACACTGATGCTGCAGGAAGGGGAGCTGGCAGCGCAAGGGGGGAATTATCAGCAGCGCCAGGAGCAGGAGGGGGAGCGTCAGGAGCAGGAGGAGGAGGGCCGGGAGCATGACCCCCCGTGAACACCTCGCCTTGCCCGCTTGCGCTTGCACGACCCCAGTTGAGTCCACACGTGAGCAGCTGCTCCTGCCTCTGCCTCTTCGCCTTGGCCCTCCTCTTCTTCCTCCCATTCTCCCCTGGCCTTCCCGCGTCCGCACCCCCCTCCCACCCATCCTCGCCCTGCTGCTCCCCCTTCTGCTGCTCCTCACCCCTCCCCTGAGCCAAACTACTCTCCCCCATGCCCCATCCTGACCTCCCCTGTGCACACGAACCATACCCCCTTGCCCATCCCTCCTCGCTCCCTTCCCTGCCCCACTGATTCTCCCCACCTCCTCGCCCCCATCCACTCTCGCTCGCTCCTCCTGTCATCCCCTCCCCATCCACTCCCCATCCTCCTCCTCCTTCCGCTCTCCATCTTTTTCTCTCACCTCCTAATTCCTCCTCTTGTTCGCTTCCCCATGCACCTTCCCCTCCCCCACCCCATCCCTCCTCAAATCTTTCTCTCAACTCGGCCTTCTCTCCCTCCGCCCATCTCTCCTCTTTCACTCTGTTCGATACTCCCTTTCCCAATCCCCATTCTCCCCCTTCCCTTCCTTCCCTGTCCAATCCTTGTCCAGTTCCCCAAACCTCTGCTCCCCCTTGTCCCCATGACCCAACCCCCCCTCTCCCCCTGTTCCCCTCTCGCAACACCTCTTCCTCTCCCTGCTGCTCCCCCTCGCCTCCTCCCTCAGCCTCCTCTCTCACGTTCACAAAAACCCGTGCCTCGTTTCCGTCCCTCCCCTCTCCCTCCATCGCCCCCTCTTTAGACCCCTTCTCTTGCACCGCTCCTCCACCCCCCGTCACAGCCCTATCCTGACCTCCTAACCTCATCTCTTCCTCTATTTCTTTCTCTGCCTCTGCGGCCCCCCTGGGGCCTCCCACACCCTCATTGCCATCCCTCACTGCATCCCTCCCTCCTCCTGCGTCTGACTCCATGCCAACCTCCTCAACCTTTTGCTGCTCCTCGTCTCTTTCCTCCGCAGCACCACCTGCATCATCTTCCCCCTCCATTTCTGTCCCTTTTTTTCCCACCTGCTGCTCCCCTTTCCCAGCCAACCCTCGCCTCTCCTCCACCTTTTCCCCCTCCCTTCCCGACTTCCCCTCTCTTGCCCCCACCATCTCTGCTCTCGCCCCTCCCTCCCCGCCCCCCTCCAAGCCAGCAGCACTGGCAGCACCAGCAGCACCAGCAGCATCAGCAGCACCAGTACCACCAGCAGCACCAGTACCACCAGCAGCACCAGCAGCACCAGCAGCACCAGCAACACCAGCAGCACTGGTAGCAGCAAAAGCACCGTCAGCATCATCTAAGCTCAAATCACCACTCCCTGCACCCACATCCCTGTCCCCTCCACTGCCTCCCCCCTCTTGCAGTCCCACAAGCCCCTCACTGCTCTTCGGCCTTCCCACATCCGATGCCCCATCACCTCCTTCCCCTTCCCCTTTCCTTCCAGTCGAGCCAGCAGCCACAGGCGCACCTACAACCGTTACTTCGCCCCCTTGTTCCTTCTCTTGTTGCAATCCCTGTCCCCCCTGCCCCTGCCCCTGCCCCTGCCCCTGCCCCTGCCCTTGCCCCTGCCCCTGCCCCTGCCCCTGCCCCTGCCCCTGCCCCTGCCCCTGCCCCTGCCCCTGCCCCTGCCCCTGCCCCTGCCCCTGCCCCTGCCCCTGCCCCTGCCCCTGCCCCTGCCCCTGCCCCTGCGCCCCGCCCCCTTGTGCCGCAGTCCACCCAATGGTCTGCAGGTGCAGGCGGTGCTGAGCCCAGGCCTGCTGCAGAGCCCTCTCCCGCCCCGCCAGCTCCCGCTCCACCTCAAACACCTGCCTCTGCTGCGCCGCCACCGCTGCCTGGGTGGTTCCAGTTTCAGAGGTAGGTTGAGCAAGATGAGCAAGATGAGCAAGATGGGTGCAAGGGGGTTGAATGCGTCAACTTGTGGATGGGACACATATAGGAGAAGCTCGTTTGGTATGATGATGTGGAAAAACGTGGGGGATAGATACAGGAATTCGTTTGGTATGGCAAACCAATGTGAGTCAATTAAGGTTCATCCTTGTAACGGAAATGTTAGCAGCAACTTATGAATCGACGAGTTGCTGCAGGTGAAGGAGTTATAGATTGGGCCAGGAACTCTGTAGGCAGTCGAAGCTTCTACCGACTCAAGGGAAGTGTGCATGGCTGTTCAAGGAAAGCACTTCCAATTGCAAGTGGTGCTTACTCTCATCGATAGGCACGTGTGCATCTTGCCTTGAAATGCCCCCGCAACTGGCCTCTTGCCCCCTCAACCAAGCTCGCATTGCTCACCAGCCTTACCCTTCCTCTGCACATCCCTCACCTGGTTTGCCTGTAGCTGCACATCCCTCACCTGGTTTGCCTGTAGCTGCACATCCCTCACCTGGTTTGCCTGTAGCTGCACATCCCTCACCTGGTTTGCCTGTAGCTGCACATGCCTCACCTGGTTTGCCTGTAGCTGCACATGCCTCACCTGGTTTGCCTGTAGCTGCACATCCCTCACCTGGTTTGCCTGTAGCTGCACATCCCTCACCTGGTTTGCCTGTAGCTGCACATCCCTCACCTGGTTTGCCTGTAGCTGCACATCCCTCACCTGGTTTGCCTGTAGCTGCACATGCCTCACCTGGTTTGCCTGTAGCTGCACATGCCTCACCTGGTTTGCGTGTAGCTGCGCATGCCTCACCTGGTTTGCGTGTAGCTGCACATGCCTCACCTGGTTTGCGTGTAGCTGCTGCTCCCTGCGGCACAGATCAGCCATCTGGGATGGTACGGAGGGACGGGGAAGACATGGAAGGGGAGGCGAAGGGACGGGAGGGAGGGAAATGGAGGGAAAGGAGAGCAAAACTATCACCGTGCATGCAAGCCTTTCGCAAGTTGACAAAACGACAGAAGAGGTCAGGGACAGCAAGACGGCGACAGTTTGTGGAAAAAGAAACACAGGTGTTTTGGGAACTTTGCTCCCTCCTGCAACATGCCCTGCTCGCCCATATCTTCTCAATATCGGACCGTGCTTTTCTCACGCTCTGTCTCTTGCTCACCTTCGCCTGTGAAGCCACTTTTCCGCCACCAGAAATCGTGGCAGCCACAGCAGCCGTGCCTCTCTGCTTCTGCCACTCCACCTCTTGCGCCCTCACCTTCTCCTCCCGCACCCTCACTTTCTCCTCCCTCTCCTTCACCCTCTCCTCCCTCGCCCTCACTCGCTCCTCCCTCTGCGTCACCCCTTCCTCCCTCTCCTTCACCCTCTCCTCCCTCGCCCTCACTCGCTCCTCCTTCTGCGTCACCCCTTCCTCCCTCTCCCCCGCGGCTGCCTCTCTGGCTGCCACCGCTGCTTGCTGTGCCGCCATGGTGCTGCGAGCAGGGCGGAGAACGGGGTAAAGGACATGGGGGACCACACACACATACATGCGTGCGCGCACGCACACACACGCACACACACACACACACATATGCAGCCTCCATGAGCCGTAGATAAAATAAAGGTGCGCTAAGAAGGTCATATTTCCAACAAATCAGATGATGGTTAATGCACACCAGGCCCCATGGAGCGAATTTGTGCATGAACCACCATATCACCTTGAAGTCAAAACGTGTTTGAGGGGCTCCATGCATGGCGACGAGGCTCATGCTATGCCAAGCCACACCACACCAGCCACGGGGCTTACTCAATCTGCTGCGAGGTGACTTTTCAGTCGACTCACAACTCACCACGTCACGCCACACCACACCAGCCAGCAACGGCACTTACTCGATCTGCTGCGCCATGCTGGCCTGCAGCTGCCGCCACTGCCACGCCACGCCCTCCATCACTCCCTCACCACCACTGCCCCCCGCCACCGCGTCTTCACCCCCCATGCCCTCCTCGTTGCACCCCCGGAGAGCTGCTGTGTGGTGACATGTCATGTGCATGTAGGGACGCGTGGTGTTGGCAGGTGATGGCGGAAGGAACGAACGGGAGTGGTACGGTTGTGACAGAGTAATCGACAGCAACCCGAGGATGCAAGGATGCAATGCGATACTACTGCATATGTTCACAAGTCTCCATCAGGCGACACCATGGTTGCCTGGAATTGAAACAGTGAAGCCAGTCTGTAACCCATGACAAGCGTAGGGCGCCAAGCCTATCCGCGTTATAAGGCCCCAGCGGCACTCGGTCGCAACATTACCTGCCACGGGCACGTTGCTTGGCGAGTTGGCTTCAACAGGGACTAGCACGGCCGCCACAACCCCATCTTCACCGCAGCCTTGCTGCTGCGACGCGTTCTGCGCAGCGCCGCTCGCGGAATCCTCCCTCTTCCCATCCTCCGCCTTTCCGTCCGCCTCCCCTTGCTGCGCCTGCTGCTGACACTGCGGCTGCGGCAGCACCTGGCGTTGCTGAGCGGGCTGCTGGTTCCGCTGTCCGCCCCGCCCTTTGTTCCTCTTGCCCATCCCTGTTAGGGTTGGTTCGCCCAACCACGGAACCTAAGGCGAAAGCATCTACGACGGCGAAATGGAAGCGCGTGTGTGAAACGGTGGAAATCGGCCTACGGTGGGGAATAGAGGCTATGGCGTGAGAAGCGGGAGAGAAATCGAGAAGAAATGTGCTAGGAGGGAGAGAGAAGGAGAAGCATCGAGAATGAGATTGACGAGGGGAAAAATGTGCTTCGAGACCAAGGCGCGTTCAAGAAGGTTCCAGATTCGGTCTTGAGGAGTGTTCACCGAATTCGGTTCGGTTGCGTGTGCGACTCGGGGTGAAGCGAGGCGCACACGGTTACTTGGGAAACAAGTGAAGTTACGAATCGCATTTTGTGTCTTGCCTGACTATAAATGTTAGGCCCGACGGCCTAAGTCCGCTAAAGAATTAGCGGGGTCGACTAAGTCGAGGATGAAACGCGGCGGAAGACTTTGGCGAAAGAACTATTGGCGAAATAGGCGAAGAAGTTACTGAGTAATTGAAGAAGAGTTGAATGAGAATTGATTGATTATGGCAAGTACAAGCAAGGTTTATATAGCATGCAAGAAACAAGGTTGGAAAGTGGAATGTGGGACCAAGAATTGGAGTGCAAGAAAAGTAGAGTGCCACGTGGCACTAGAGAATCTGAGAAGATAAGGATGTCAAGGTGAGAGAGGAATGATGTCGACTAGTTTGGGGCATGGGGTACAAAAGTGACGAGAGAAAAGTTGTACCCCCTAAGAAACACCCCTACAAAACCTAAACCTAAATTATATAAATCATATAATTTGACACACCCCCATAGGTGAAGTAGGGGGATAGCCAAACCTAACAGGGGTCACAAGACCAGTTCACATGCAGGTTTATAACACAGCAAGAGATACAGTGATCACATCCTAGCAAAAGTAAACATGCAGGCATATATATATATATAGTGATCACAGTACAAGCAGGGTCAAGAAGTAAGCAAGTGAGGTCCAGTAGGCACAAGGCCTAGCAGAGTGCAAAAGCGCTGATGGTCAACAGGCGGAAGCGCCTTGGTGAACACATCAGCAGTGTTGGCCTCAGTGGCCACGTAACGCAGACAAAGCTGACCACGCTGCTGCAGCTCTCGAGCAAGAAAGTACCGCAGAGCAATGTGCTTCGTTCTGTGCTCCAGTCTGTGCTCCTGACACAAGGCAATGGCAGCCTTGTTGTCGACGTATAGCACTGGAGGAGAACCAGGCCGCTCTCCAAGGTCGGTCAGCAGGTAGGTCAGCCAGCGTAGCTCCTGGGCAGCCATGGCTGTGGCGTAGATCTCAGCCTCACAACTGGAGCTGAGAACAGAAGAAGAGCGTGTAGAACGCCAGGAAACTGAGCCTGAGCCAAGGCTGAAGGTGTAACCCTGTGACGACCGCTGAGTAGCCTGGTCGTCTGCCCAAGAAGCGTCTGAGTGCCCTGTGAGAACAGGCCGGTCTCGCCCTCCAAGCACTAGCCCCATGCCCGACGTACTGCACAAGTAGCGCAACACCCTCTTAGCTGCATCCATGTGCTCCTTCCGGTGACGGCCGGGAGCGACATAGCGTGCAAGGATGCTAAGAGGGTATGCAAGGTCAGGTCGTGTGCAGGTCATCAGGTACATGAGGCAACCCACAAGCTCTGGATACGGGCCATTCGGCTCTACGGACTCATCCGAAGGCAGAGCTGAGAGCGAGTGTCCCGTAGGCAGAGGAGTGGGCTGAGGCGAGGAGTACGTGAAGCGGAAGCGCTGAAGGACCTGCTGCACCATGTGTGACTGAGTCAGGGTGATGGTGCGCCGTGCTCTGTCCCGGGTGATCCGCAAGCCAAGGTAGCTTGTCAGTTCACCCAGGTCTGTGCACGTGTGTCTCTTCTGCAGCTCCAACTTCACGTGGGCGAGACCAGCTCTGTCCGCTGTGGCAAAGACCAAGTCGTCGACGTACACGAGGATGTAGAACGGCGGCAGCGAGGTGTCGGTGCGTAGAAACAGCGACGGGTCAGCAGTAGAGGGAGCAAACCCAAGAGCCGCAAGTGTCGTGCTCAGTGTGTCGTGCCACTCACGCGGTGCCTGGCGGAGACCGTAGACCGGCCGCTGAAGCCTCCACTGGGTGCCAGGGGGAACCGACCCAGTGAAGCCAGGAGGGCGGCGCAGCCAGATCTCCTCGTGCAGGCTGCCCTGCAAGAAAGCTGTGCTGAAGTCAAGAGAGTGAAGCTCGTAGTCGCGCTGAGCGGCTATGTGCAGCAGCACCCGAAGAGTAGTCATCTTCGGGGTGGGGGAGAAGGTCTGAAAGAAGTCGACTCCCTCTCGCTGACTGAAGCCCCTAGCCACGTAGCGCGCCTTGAAGACAGGCGAAGAACCCGGCGGTCGCTTCACCCTGAAAATCCACATGCCACTGACGATGTTCGCCCCAGGAGGGGGAACCTCGTCGACGTAAGTGCCAGTGGACTTCCAGGAAGCCATCTCTGCGTCCATGGCTGTCTGCCACTGAGAGGAGTAGGGACCCGCCATCGCCTCAGTGTAGGAGCGCGGGGTCGGGATGTCTGGTGCATCCGGGTCTCCCTCAGGGGCAACAAGCATGGACACGAGATGAGGCACAGCAGCAGCAAAGCAGTGAAACTCCTCCTGTCTGTCCTCAAGGACGTCCGTGCCAAGAGCACACTCACCCCCGACGGACGGAGGACAGGCAGACTCAGACTCAGCAACTAGGCTAGCAGCGTAGTCCAGGCGACAGCGAGAAGCAAAGTCAACCAGCTCAGCGACCAGAGCAGACGCAGCAGCGGACTCAAAAGACGGGTCAGTGACGACAGTAGCGAGAAAACGCGTGACAGTGGGACTGGCAGCACGACGGGAGTCAGACTCCGGGTCAGGAAGAGTAGGCAGCGAAGACTCAGGAGGAGACGGCAGCGGGACACGCTGCGGAGCAGTGGAGGGACGCAGAGTCATGTAGTGAGTGCCCGGGACAGGAGGAGGACGCTCACGCGGGGCACGACGACCGGTGCGCGCAGTACGGACACGCGACGCTGGACGTGACTCAGGCGCACGACGCTCAGTAAGGCCTCCCGTGGGACCAGTGTAGGGAGAGGGACCAGGGAGAGGGGAGGCGGGCGGTAACTGTGACTGCGACTGGACTGGCGTGAGACCAAGAACCTGCTGAAGGAGCGGGACAAAGTAGGGACGCGGCCGCGTAGCGGCTCCAGAACCAGTAGAGACAGCAGCGGCGGGGTCCTCAGCACCAGCGACAACGCCAACGTCCGGGTCCGCAGCACCAGCAGCAGCTCCAACGCCCGGGTCCTCAGCACCAGCGACAACGCCAACGTCCGGGTCCTCAGCACCAGCAGCAGCTCCAACGCCCGGGTCCTCAGCACCAGCGACAACGCCAACGTCCGGGTCCTCAGCACCAGCGACAACGCCAGTGTCCGGGTCCGCAGCACCAGCAGCAGCTCCAACGCCCGGGTCCGCAGCACCAGTGACAACACCAGCGTCCGGGTCCGCAGCACCAGCAGCAGCTCCAACGCCCGGGTCCTCAGCACCAGCGACAACGCCAACGTCCAGGTCCTCAGCACCAGGGGCACCACTCCGGAGACTGCAGCGCCGCGCGTACCACTCTCGGATCTGCTGAATGGGGGGGAGCTCCTGGGCAGGAGGGGAAGTACTGGGATGAGCTCCAGAAGCTCCGCTCCGGAGGCGGCAGTACTGTAGGTACCTCTCCTGCAGCTGCTGGGAGGAGAGAGCTCCTCCAGACGTAGTGCGCTCAGGCTCAACACCCCCAGACGCAGCACCCCCAGTCGCCACACCCCCAGGCTCCGCACCCCCAGGCTCAGTACCCCCAGGCTCCGGACCCCCAGGCTCGGGACTGTCAGGCTCCGCACTCTCAGGCTCAGCACCTCTGGCAGGGCGGGACTCGACAGCTACCTCAACAGGGTCAACCGGGTCTACCTGGGACACACCTGAGGGAGCGGCACCCTGAGGGGGGAGGGGGTCTACCACAGCAGCACCTGGTGCGAGGAAGAGCGGCAGTGGGGGGAGTGGGGCAGTGCGGTAGGGGAAGAGGCGGTAGAAGGGGACAGACTCGTCAAAAGTGACGTCCTGAGAGGCCAGAACCCGGCGCGAGGCGACGTGGTAAAACTGCCAGCCAGGCGCGTCGGGGACAAAGCCAAGAAAGACACAGGGAACAGCGCGACGCGAGATCTTGTCCGCAGACGTATCGCGGACAAAGGCTCGGGATCCCCACACCCGGAAACGCGACGCATCACCAACCTCTCCCGTCCACCGCAGAGTCGGGGAAGTCTCCGGGAAGGAGACACGGGGCCAGAGGTTGAGCTGATGCGCTGCGTAACGGACCGCAAACGGCCACAGAAAGTGGGGAGCAGCCGCATGGGTCAGGGAGGTACGAGCGACCTCCATGACCAAGCCAATGCGGCGCTCAGCGACCCCATTCTGCTGTGGAGAGGCCGGAAGCGTGAACGACTGCTCGATGCCGTGCTCAGCACAGTAGGCTGTCAAGAGGTCGGAGGCGAACTCACCACCTCTGTCAGAGTGCAAGCGTAGGACTGGAAAGTCCAAGCGAAAGCGCTTGCCTAGCTGGAGACGGGCTCGGCTGATCCAGGGGATCAAGACATCAGGGACGTCACCCTTGCTGCGCAAGGGGAAGACCGTGGTGTAGCGCGAGTAGTCGTCGACAACTATCAGGAAGTACCGCTCCTGACCCTGACCACGGACGCGGGCTGGGCCCCACACGTCCATGTGTAGCGTCTGCAAAGGAGCAGTCGTCGGGGGGAAGGAGGAGGAGTGGGGAGCGGCGCGCTGCCGCCCCTCAACACAGGGAATGCAGTCGGGAGCAGGTGAGGGGGGGAGGGGAGGGAGAACCCGAGGGAGACCAGAGACAAGCTGTCGCTTGTGCATGGCACGAAGGCGCTGCACAGACGGGTGGCCAAGTCGGTGGTGCCAGAGGACAGTGTCGTGCGCCAGAGAGCGACACGAGCAGGGGGCGGACAGCTG